AAAAAAAAAAAAAAATGTTGTTTAACTATAGGCTCAAGTGTGCTGTGAGATAAAAAGGTTGAAAAACACTGTTCTAAGTGTTCTAAAGCAGGCAGCCTTGTATATTTGAACAATTACTAGACAAAAACCCAGGTGATCTAGTCTAGGTCCAGATCTACCACTAGGTGGTTGTAAGATCTTGGGCAAGTCACTTCTCTTTTTGTACCTGTAAAATGAGGGGGTAAGATGATCCTTCCAATTCCTTCTGGTTCTGGCATTCTAGGGTTCTTTAATTCTGCATTTATAATGGTATGGAAGCCTTTGTTTCTTTCAAGTACTGAAATTTGTCCAAGCTGGTAATGTCAAGGCATTCTCAGGTTTCTGTGGGTATGGTTCTCAGCACTGGTGTTCATTTGTAATTTCGTTCTGCTGATACCATTTAGAGGAGTGGATTAAACAGTGCAGTTCATGTACAGGATTATTTTATATATATGTACAAGTGTTTGTTCATGCCTGTTTTTTGTCTTCTTTACCACTAATTAGTCTTTTTTTGTTTTTACATTTGAATGATTTAGAAGTAAGTGAACATTAATGGTCATATTCTTAGGAAGAGGTAATTAGCCATCTTGCATGAATTTTTAACATGAAAATAAATTTCTACTTCATACCCATGGAGACTCTTGCTCTCTACAAAACTGAGAAAGTTGTCATTGTGCTTTACCCAATGAAAAAAGACTTGTAAGAAGATAAAAAAGGGTGCTAGATGCTCAGATTCATGCATTTAAGAAATGTATTGATCCCTCCTGCTAGGTTCAAGAGATGCCAAGAGGAGTGAGTAGTAGTCCTTGCCCCAATATTAAACCTGAAGGCAAGTGACTTAATACAGTAGGATGATTTCTCTAAACAGTGGTTCTCAACCTTCCTAAGGCCTCAATGTATTTTCATTGTTAAAAAAGGGTCTCAACCCTCAGATTGAGAACCGCTGCTGTAATAGAAATTAGAGATGGTTTTTATGTGAGTAGGCAGACAGCTGTGTTCAAAATGCTGAAGCGTTTGACTTGGCATTAATGCCAGAGCAACTCTTTTTTTAAACTTGCGACATTTCCCCCCACTTGGGGCATAGGCTTTGTTAATAATCTGAATGAATGTTTCCTCTTTGCTGCCTCTATGTGGATACAAAACCTGAGATTATTTCTTTGTTAAAGGGCAGAGACTCCTGTTTCCTCCATTTGTGCACTGCAGATCAATATGTACAAGTAATTAAGGGCTGTATCTAAAGTATAGGTATTCAGTTGATAATGCAAATAATTTCAAATATAGTTTCATCATTAGGCAATTTTGGGGAATATATATTTTGTCCCAAAGCATTAAAGGTAAGTGAAAGTTTTGATCTACAAAATTGTGATTTTTTTGCGTTTTCTGGGAAATTGCTAGACTTGTACTCAGGAGTTCCTAATATACCCTGTCACCTTTTTTCTACTAAACTTAATGAAACGACTTAAGATTTCACTTGTTTAGCACAGATATCACTGATTTTTCGCTAAATTCATGTTTACTGTTTTGGGAGAAATGATTCCTTTGAGTCCTTCAATCTTCAGTGCTTAGTCTATCAAATGTTTTGCAAATTCAAGGTACTATTCTTTTGTTATTGTCTGCAAAGCTAGAGACCTTAAAATGGGTTCAGTGACCACTAAGTTCCTTTCCAGTTCTAGAAGTGTAATACCCTCATTGATAGATTTGGAAAGAAGTCAGAAGGTAAAATGACTTGTCAAAGACATTTGTCATGGCTTATGTGAGGTAGGTGTTTCCACTTAGATGTAAAACATTTTCATTGAGACTTACTTCAATAAAATATGTTTTTTTTTCCCAAAAAGTCTGACAATATAGGCTAAAATCATATGACTGGATACCAGATGGGCTTCTAATTTTTGGTTGCTCTGAGAATACTCCCCTTTTCAGACGTAGTGAAGCTAAGCCAAATTTCTCTTTTATGTTTTCATTAGGTGTCCCTTGCACATACAAAAAAGAACCTGTTTGTATATCTAATGGAAATAAAATATGGACACTGAAGTTCTCTCCTAATATCTCCACTAAGACTCCGCTTGTCCTCCTGCATGGTTTTGGAGGAGGTCTTGGACTCTGGGCACTGAATTTTGGAGATCTTTGCACTGATAGGCCTGTCTATGCTTTTGACCTGTTGGGCTTTGGACGCAGTAGTAGACCCAGGTTTGACAGTGATGCAGAAGAAGTGGAGAATCAGTTTGTGGAATCCATTGAAGAATGGAGATGTGCCCTAGGATTGGACAAAGTAATCTTGCTCGGGCACAACCTGGGTGGCTTCCTGGCTGCTGCTTACTCACTGAAGTACCCATTAAGGTAAGTGCTGGTGACTGAAGAGAGGGATCCTAGTGCTGGTCTCTAGTTCCCATCTCTGGTGGTTGTTGGTGTCTTAGCCTTATAAGACAGACTTTCTCTTAAAGGACCTTATAGACCAAGCCACAGCTGATTCTGGTTTGGTAGTGAAATAAGCAGGTTTGCCTGTTATATGTGCTGCACATTATTGATAGGCTTCAGAAAAGACTTTATATTTGTTAATCTTAGAATTTTATTTAATTTAGTGTATATTGTTAAGCTACATGTTAAAATTATTGTGTTGTTATTGTTTATTGTTATTATTAAATCAATGGCTCCAGCAGGCTTTTCCTAACCTTTTCTACATTATAGTAAGGTGTAATGAGACACCACAGGGTTAGAAGTGAGATCTAGGTGCTAGTGTTATCTTTGTGACTTAGAGCAAATCACTTCTAAACTTATCTCATATTTTTTTAAAGTATAGAAAATGTACTTCATAGTATATCTTGCAGAACTTTTGATTATACCTTGCCTTAACCTTTCTCATTATAGAACTGTTTTTCACTTTAAAAGTGTTCACTTTGAAATGTTTGCATGTTCACTTTGAAATTTTTCTAACATCATTTCCTTTCTTTACCTTCTTTTCTTTTTTTTTTTTTTTGAGTCAGAGTCTCAAACTGTCACCCTGGGTATATTGTCTTGGCATCATAGCTCACAGCAACCAACTGTTGGGCTCAAACGATCTTCTTGCCTCAGTTTTTCTACTTTTAGTTGAGACAGGGTCTCAGTTTTTGCTCAGGTTGGTTTTGAACTTGTGAGCTAGAGCTATCCACCCACCTCGGCCTTCCAGCGTGCTAGGATTACAGGCTTGAACCACCGCACCTGGCCTCTTTACCTTATTTTTAAATGCTGTTTCCTATTATTCGTGTTGCTGCTTTGAGGGGAGGTCACATTTGAGCGCTAAGAAAACAGGAGAAAAACTCATCTTTGTTTTGCTTATCTTTTGGAGAGAAACCAAAAAAATGAATATTGACATTTTTGTGTCACCAAATTTTTTTTTCATTGGACTAATTTTTTCATCCAAAATTGCAACTGAGTTTGACAGAGTCTGTGAATGAGAATTGTTGGTTATCTTCAGAGTGGCCGTGTGCACCTGTGCCACCACCCCGGTGCGTAACTGTAGAAGGCGTGCTGAGCAGCAGGACTGTGTACCTCAGGTTTCTTCCTCTAGAATAGCCATTTTTTCCCTCTACAGATTCTTTAAGCTTCAGCATTTACGTCTGATTTTTCTAGAAAGATCATATTCCTGTACGTGCTAGACAGTACTAGTTTTGTGAACTGGCAAGCCTGTTCTTTCAGAAGAAACCCAAATTTTCTTCTCGTTGGCATTTTGGGGTTACTCTCTTTTATTGTGCCCTACTCTTAGTGACAAATACCTAGTTGTATTTATGAGGAAAAGAGGAGAAGGAAGTGGAAACTTTTCTGGTGTAAGACAACAGGGCTATTTGTGAGAACTGAACCTTTTTCATTTTTTAGCAGGTGTGTATTTTGTCTGCCTTGGGGTATTTATTCTCCATAGAGTGACATGGAATTCTGTGGGCTACCGCCTGGTCATTAAGCCCCTAAGTCTTAGAGTCCTGACCCTTTAGCTGTGCACTGCTTAGGTCAGTTGGTGTGATTTTCATTTGTGATTATGAAATGCTCTAAGGACTCAGAAGGAACGAATATTTTAAAACCATTTATGAAAGAAAATAACAACATATTGAAACAAAGCTAGCGATCCTTGCATTAGACTATTTCAGAAGATGATTTTAGAATGTTTGTATCTGATGCTAGAAATAAAACTACACTACTGTGTCAGGACCAAAACCCACTAAATAGTACATGTAATATTAGATGATTATGAGGATGCCTGAAATAATTAACATGTCTAAATTTATCTGGTTGGCATCAAAATATTGAACAACTACAGTGTGTTAGATATTCAAACCTGTATTCTTAACTGCATAAAACTTAAATTATTAGACACAAGTTAATTTCCAAATAATGATGTTCTCTGGATTTTCAGATATCTCAAACCATGGTAAGTCTAGTCCTTAGGTCCCCAGCAAATATTTCTTGAATAGATGGCTTTATACAGAATTATGTAGATGATCTGATGTGGTTAATAGAACTGTTAAGTAGACTCACAGATCCAAACATTAACCAAGATTAAACAGGACTGATTACTATGAGTATAAATGTTCATTATAGCACACTTCATCTTTGCTGTTTCTTGAAGTTGGCACTCCCACAAGCATATGGGATGGTTGTAACCAGTGTTGCCTTCCGTGTGATCTGGAGTGTCTTACCTGAGCTAGAGAAGCTTCTTTGTGGCACACACGTTTTCTCTGGTGCAATATAGCAGTCTGCGTAGTATCAACAAACAAGTATGGAACTACCTACTTTTTTAGTGTCTTATCCAGCTTTCTTTTTTGATCCAGGTAATGTTTTTATTATGCTGTTATGAGATTTAAATGAATCTTTTTAGTTTCAGAGAAGATTTTACAAGGTGGTGAAGAGAGGGAAGAAGTGGTTTAGAGACCAAAGGGAATTCAGATAATTTCTTTCACTCATTGTGCCTCCTTTGTCTGTATCTCTCTTTTCCCCCTAATGGCCTTTAAGAAAGTTACTTTTTCTTTGTCTCTCTCTTTTTTTTTTTTTATTGTTGGGGATTCATTGAAGGTACAAGATGTGTCACACACTGATTTTCTTTGTCTCTTTATATGTGACAAACATAATTTTTTTTAATTTAAGTAAAATGACATCTCCTTACTTTCTGTACCCAGCACTCTACCCTGGGTAGAGTACTGTAAGAAGAAGCAAAAGCATAAAAACAAAATTGTTTTATTTATTGAGACTTAATGTTCCCAGCCCATGCCTATTTCAGTCCTTGTCTTTAATGGGTAACTTCATTCATCCATCCATTATTTTTATAGGACAATTTAAGAAGAATGAAAATGCCTGGTTTAATATGCTTGTTTAGGATAGATCCTTATGATAAGGAACAAATAAAAACTGATCAATTTTTGCCAGCGTTTCGGTCCATTAGGGCAGTACAGGGGGCTCAGCACTATGAGCAGTGAAGGCCTCTGTCCATTAAAGTTGTTTTATAGACTACCTTGTGGCAGTGAGTCCAGATTTTTATCCAGATTCTTGATACTGGTTAAAAATTGAATTTTAGGTAGTTATTATACATGATGTAAAAGTACCTAGATGATTCTTCCATTGAAATACTGGATCAAATACTCTAAAATTGTGTTTCAGCAAGTTGGTTGTATGTAAATAATGTTGAATGGCTTTGTGTTTTGGGCCTTTTTCTTTTGTTTCTTTTTTTATAATTTAAAGAGGTTTATTCCTCTTAAATTTGAGGACCGTGACCCAGACATTTTTTTTTTTTTTTTTTGAGACAGCCTCACTCTTGTCCCAGGTTAGAGTGCCATGGTGGCAGCCTAGCTTATGGCCACCTCAAACTCCTAGGTTCAAGAGATTGTCCTGCTCAGCCTTCTGAGTAGTTGACACTACAAGGTCTCTGCCACAATGCCCAGCTAATTTGGGCCATTTTGTTTTAATTCTTTTCTTTAAAAAAAAAAAAATGACTAAAGAGGCAGCTGAGCTCCATTTATACTGTTAACATGTCTAATTAACATGTCTAAATTTATCTGGTTTTCATCAAAATATTGAACAACTACAGTGTATCGGATATTCAAACCTGTACTCTTAACTGCATAAAACTTAAATTTACACTATAAATTACCATGGTTGTTTTGAGTCACATCTATCTTTTAAAAATAGATGGCATTAATCATACCGTAATTAAAGGAGTGCCTCTGTGCTTCCTCATGTCATTTGTTTGTTCATCCATCAAGTATGTGCCAGGTATCGTGCTATGTGCTGAACTTGGCGGTGAGCGGTGGGAATCCCTATGCCTCTAAGGCAGTGGTTCTCAACCTTCCTAATGCTGCAGCCCTTTAATACAGTTCCTGTGGGTCGCTGCAAGGCTTACAGTGTATTGGGACACACAAATAAGTATAAGTAGCATGACAGCTGTGATGAGTGATGTGGAGGGGAGGTGGGCAGTGCTATGAGAACTCTTGATGAGACCTCAACCTGGTCTTGGGGTCCAGTAATGGTACCCCAAAGAAGTACAGCTTAAGCTGAAGTCTGAAAGGAGACTAGCAGGTGACAGGAGAGCATTCCAGGCAGTAGGACACATATTGCAAAGTCCCCATTCTAGGCGGATGCCTGGGCTGTTCTGGAAAGGCCAGTGTGGCTGGAGCACAGAGAAGATATGAACTGGTTAGTAGGTGACTCCAAGTGAGGGCATAACCCCCATTATTCTTCTCCAAAAACAACCTTATGCTCTTAGCACAATGTCTAATAATTAGAGTTGCCATCTGTAATTTCATTAGTAGATTAATGTGCTAGGTTGCAAACAGGCAGGGCCACTCACCATATGAGGTGTCTTGGGCTGCCATTCTGTAAAATCTTCACAAGGGGAAGTAGAGTAAGCCAGCAGTAATAGCCAAAGATACTATCACCTTCTTTCATCTGCGTGCTCAGGTTTTTCATTTATTTGTTTGTTTGTTTGTTTGTTTGAGAGAGTCTCACTCTGCCACCCTGAGTAGAGTGCCGTAATGTCACAGCTCACATCAACCTCAAACCCTTGGGCTCAAGTGATGTCCTTGCCTTGGTCTCCCAACTATGTGGGACTAGAGGTGCCTGCCTCAACTCCCAGCTAGTTTTTCTATTGTTTAGAGAGACGGGGGTCTTACTTTTGCTCAGGCTGGTCTGGAACTCCTGAGCTCAAGCAATCTGTCCACCTCAGCCTCTCAGAGTTCTAGGATTATCGGCATGAGCCATGGCATCTGGCCTAGTTTTTTCTTTTGCCTTTCCTTTACTTCTGGCTCCTGGTATTCAGGAATTTATACAAAAGTTTTTATTTCACTAGTAAAATGTTTACACATAATTTGATCTTGAATGCTTTTCACTTTGACCTTGCTGGCCTGTGACTCCTGACTGTGCAGACCTCTTAATAAGCTGTTTCACCTGACCTTAAATGGGAGGTATTTTAGTTTGTCTCTGGGCCTTCCCTGTTCTCACCCCAGTGGCTTGGAGCTGATAGAAAATGCCTGGGGCTGACTTAATTCTGAGAATACCTCTGTGTGCTGACCAGAGGTCTTTGTGATCTTTTTCCTTGGTCTGCCTTATACATTTAAATCCTGGGTCTGTTTGTTCTTCTTGTATTATTTCTGGCTGGCGGCTGTCTTTATATCTCATTAAAGACAGGCTTATACACTCTTGTTAGCATACATACACATACTTTTTTTTTCTTTGCAGTTTTTGGCCGGGGCCAGGTTTAAACTCGCCACCTCCAATATTTTGGTCCAGCGCCCTACTCCTTTGAGCCATAGGCGCTGCCCCATACATAATTATTTTTGAGATAGGGTCTTGCCCTGTTGCCCAGTCTAGAATGCAGTGGCATCATCATTAGCTCATCCAATCCTCCTGCCTCAGCCTCCCAGGTAGCTGAGACTACAGGTGTGCACCACCACAACCAGCTAAGAATGTGTGTGTGTGTGTGTGTGTGTGTGTGTGTGTGTGTGTGT